CTTTTTCTACACAAAAAAAATGGTGAGCAAGGGAAGCATCTTCTCACGGAAAGCAATGCTATGAATTGGGTTGGCATAGTTGTTGAGGCTGAGGCACCTCAGCTGAAGGAGACTGAAGACGGGGTCATTGATGAAGACTTGTATGGCTCATTACACAACCTTGGTCATGACAAGTTTGCTGAGATTGGTTACCAGACATATTCTTCAAGCAAAAACCGTTGGGGGGTAATGGGGTCCACCTCTGTTGCAATACGTGATCCAGTTTTTTGGATTTGGCACAGGCACATTGATGATTTCCGTCAGTCCATCGTAAAGAAATACAAGCAACATGCACTAAAAGAGAGTGCCCCACCTCATGTGAAGCTCACTGAAGTACAAATTTTGCCACAAGACGAAAATTCTACTACACCTCATGGAGGCATTGCCACATATCTCACTGCACCTCAGTTGGATAAGCATGAAGTCAATGCTAAGCTCAACCATGAGCCATACAAGTGGGTGGTCAAGGTTGAAGCCATTGGAGACATAGAAAAGTTTAAGCCATTTACCGTACGAATCTTCATAGCTCCGAAGCTACTGATGGGTGAGCAGCGCCGTTACATTGAGATGGATAAATTTTCATATACTCTTACTAAAAGGACTGCAACAATTACAAGGCTAGATGTGCAGTCTTCTGTGGCCCGCAAGCATTCTAATCCATTGGAGCACCGGGATCCACGCTGTTTGTGTGGATGGCCTCAAAATATGATGTTACCCAGTGGTACTGAAAAGGGCATGGATTATGTAATCTTTGCTATGCTCACTAATGATTCTATCTCAGAGGTATGTCTCTTAACTTTTCATAGAGCTATTCAAAATTTACAAACATTGATTTAGTAACTTATTGATATGTAATTTTTAAATTTTATGCAGGATGATGAAGTATCAATATCTTTCTGTGGAGCTAAGGATGATAAATACCCTGATGAACGTGGCATGGGATATCCATTTGATAAAGCATGGTTCACGACATCCTCAGAGATGCAAGAGGCTATCATGGACTTACAGCATGTGAAGTTGTCAGAGTTTAAGATTTATCGTGAAACAAAGCTTTACGAAGGACGAAAAGTGTCACTCAAAGGAGATATCAGTTGGGAAAATACCATCCAATCTTTGTTCACAAAGAGTGATAAAAAATACATGAGTGACAACTACAATATTGACTTGGAAAAAAAGTCAGATGTGATTCGATACCGGATGTTTATACTTGGTTTATTTGAGAATGGTACAGATGATGCATCTGGCAATTTACCTAAGTGGGATAGTGACAAACTTGCTAAACTGGAAGCGTGGATAGATGCTGATTTTCCTTAAAAACTAATAACTCTCAAATAGGGCTAAGGTCATCATTAAGATGATCAAATATTTTTTGCTTAGTATTTTTGGTTTTAGGATTTTTGTAAAATTTTTATTAAATGACATTGTGAGTGTGACTGAAGTATGATAAGGGTGGCTAATGGGGCTAGAAATAGTTAATAGATAAACAAAAGCTTAACTGGCACTTTTTCTTATTTCTTTATCTTAATTACCTGAGAACACTAAAAAATTGATACTAGTAGTTTAAAATTATAATTGTAATAATTATAGTATAATAATTGGTAAAACCTAGATCTATATATAGCAAGGCTGCAAAAGTCATGGCAGCCATTTTGAAGT